GGCGGGGGGGGGGGCTAAAGGACAATCTGTATGAATTAGACTAGAAATGCACATTAGGACTCCAGTAGGCAAAAATCATTCCCTAAAGCTATCCTGTAAGATTGGAGAGCCTTTATCTTCTTTCTCCAGCCCCACCTCCCCAGTAAATGAAGTTTGAATGATTTCCTTCCCCCCCGCCCCAGGCTCTGCCTCCCCATTTTTCAGGTCTTGATGTAAATGTCATTTTAAGCCTAGGGTGGTTTTGACATTGACTTGTTCTTAGGACATAGTATTTATGCACCATGTTCAATATTCAGTATTGAACGTCGCACCTCGTAACAAAAAGGTTTTAGGCTTCTGGGTTTTTTTTTAAGATGAGCTGTGGGCTACACTGAGAGCCCTCCGGACTCTTTCTAATGCAGCATTGAAGACAAATATACAATTATATCAAATGTTTATTTTCAATGTGTGTGTAAATAGTACAGTATTATGCAATAAATTTGATGTTTAAATCTGTTGGAGTGGCTGCCTTTGTGTCAGTCAGGAAGCAAAGGAGAGGCTGCTCCAGGCACTTGCACTGCCTCTCCTGCTGGTCTTGGCTTACATCTAAAGAACCTGGAAGAAGGGAGCCGCTCATCTCTGCACTCCAGTCTGTCCCCTGGTTGCTTGCTTGGATCCAGTGCTGCCCTTCTCCTTCCTCACCTGGATTTGATCCTGGTGCACCAGTTCCTAAATGAGGGGCTGTGCTGTGGAGGGTGGGGGGATGTTGTGTTTTTATCTGCCTGTCCTGGCTCAGCTGAAGTCAGGCAAGTCCTCTGTCAGCTGCAGCCTGGGGATTCTGCCGACAATGATGTGGCCTCAGTTGGCTCTCCTGCACTGTGGGACATCATTAGTGTATGCAAATCCAGTTAATTTACTGGCTTACTACAGGCTTTCCATCACGTGGGATTGTGGCTTCCTGAGCTTATGAAGGAAGGGTGCTGCTTTTTCCATCAGCTCTGCAGGTAGGCACATCAAGGTAGGATTAGCAATGAGGTGCCATGTGCACATATATATATATATATATGTATGTATGTTAGAGTGTGTGTGTATATATAAAACACAATATATATTTTACCAACATAATTAGTAATTAATGTTACTTATGGTACTACATCTGTTAACACCCACAAATAAATCTTATCAAACTAAAAATACATATTCAGAGTATTTATGTTAAGTAGCAAGATAGGCAAACTGAAGGGAAATTGAAAACTTTGCTCAAAACTCAGGCAGGGAGCTGACTGTTGCAGCACTGGTGAGCATGTGGTGGCCAATGGTGGCACTGCTGGCGTGCCAGGTGTGAAGGGGACAGCTGCAGGCTACAGCCTGGCTTGTCCTGGCAGCTTGTTTCACGTGCTGGTGAATCACCAATTTGCAAATATTTCCAAAGAGGACTCTGGAAGCACTCTAGGCTGGAGGATGTCTGGCACCACCTACCCTCTGAAACATATACACTACCAGGAATAACAACTGATGATGTCTTAGCAGAATGATTAAAAGAGAAAATGCTTTAATTTCACTGCCTTTAACATAAACATCCATTATTTGACTGTTTACCCAGGAGTAAACAGAATAAAACCAAATGCAGCTTATAAGAATGACATTTTTTTTTTCCTGTCTTTTACCTCTTGCAATCTTTTTTTGTCCACAACCTGTTCATCATCATGATTTAAACAAACTGCAATGATTTATGATACCACCATGTGGTAATGCACAGACATACATGTCTGAAATGGCCCCTGTGGATAGGAAGCCCAACAGACCAGAACTGCCATCCTACAGCAGTTTGTTCTAGTGACATGGGAACAGGTTGTCTTACACTAACAGCTTATTTATATCACATAAAGTAGATTTTTGTACAGTACTTCACACCTTTTAAAAACACAGCCTTGTATTTAACGTTCTCCAGTCAACAGTCATTGATGTTGGCAGAGACAAATCATCAAACAAAACATACAGAAGTTGCTTGGAATGACTGAGATGAGTGTGGCAGGGCAAACATTCCTGGCTATTTGTGGTTAGTGGGAAGTCAAATAATCTGTGGGAGATACAAAGACAACATTTTTAGTGCCCAGGCCTTGGAGCCCTCCTCCTGGACAGGCTTGGGAGAGGGGAGTCACAGCATCTGAAAACCCAGGACAGAAAGTTGAGCATTTGTATGTATCTTTCCAGGACTGGAATTTTAAAATTCACTTCTTCTCTATGATGGCCTTTCCTACTGGTTCACTTTGCAACTAGGAAGATGATGGTTTGTTTGTTGGTTTTTGATTTTTGTTTGTTGTTTCTTTTTTTTTTTGGCACAGGAAAAGACTTGGAACAGCTTACAAAGAGAGATGGCTAGGTGTGGGTTTTTCTTCTTTTAATGTACAATCTCAGTTAACAGGTTTTTTTTATACTCTTAGCTTTCGAAGTTCAAAAATATAAACTCTCTAAAGTGCATAATTGTACTTACGTTTCATATAAACTATCTGAAATTCTAGCAATATACCATGTAAACAGCAGTAACTAAGCATCAGAAAATGCTACAATCTCATCAGTTTAAAAATAAAATGGACTGTTCCCTACATATCATTTATCAAGATTTGTCAGGGACAAAACCCAGCAAAACAGATAGTTTATCAGTACACAGTGCAAATAGGCTTTTAAAAATAAGCAGAGAAACCAGACTCCTGGGAGGCCTTGGACCACTGGAAAAATGTATGACTATGAAGAAAGGGAAGAAACTACTTCTCTTGCCCACGTAAAGATGTCCAGGATTCAGCAAAGTGCCCAAGCTTTAGTCCACAATAGTTCAGCAAAACCCCAATGGCAGATGAGCTTGAGGCACATGCTCACCACACCTGCTTTTGCTTTGCTGAACTGGGCCTGAACCACACCAAAGAGGGACAGGCCTTTCTGTAATCCAACATTTTTTCTCATCCTACACTTTCTATAGTAGAGGGACACTGCAGCCAGTTTGGCTCAGCTACTGCATCTAAATCAACTAGGGAGAGCTGACTTACGGACTCTGAGAAGAAGAGCCTGTAAGAGCAGGCTGAAGGACAAAGGCACAGCTCTGTTTTCCTAGACTGTGATCAGACAGGGCTTTACACTGGTCAGGCTTTCCTTCCAGTCAGACATCTTCAAAAGTAGTTTTAGAGCCTGTTAGCCAGCCCAGTTAACACACTCAAAGGATCAGTTTTGCAGAGCAAAGCTCCATATCCCTCAAATGATGGAAAGATCACTTCAGCATCTCTGAAAAGCCAAGCCCCACTTCAGCACACAAGTTCTCTGGACTCTTTGAAAGATGAAATTCAGTCTGCTTTGATTTTATATACAAATGACAATTCTGCAATCAGTAAAAAAAAACAACAAACACAACCTGGGAGTCCCCCTCCTAAATGCTTTCACTAATTAATGCACATTACTGCCTTACCCATCCAGATCAGCAATGGGCAAACCCACTGGGAGAAGGTTGCCTTTTGAAGTGGTTATGGGATCTTGAAGAGAGAAGAACACTCTTGGCATCAGTTTTGGCATACATAGCACATGCAGCAAACGGAAGGGGGTAAGTCTAAGTACCACAACCCAACTATATCTGTAAGCCCACTTGCCCATATAAAGAAGGAAGGGGGAGAAGTTTTTCCTGGGGTCCTCTTCTTGCCTCCTCTGGCACAATGCAAGTGAGGCCTGGCTATGACAACCTGGTACTGCATTTATCTCAGCCATTTGGCTTCTGCACATCAGCTCCCCAGCAGATCAAAGCAAAATGCAGCCTTAGAGAAATGCTCTCCCTGCAACATCAGGGCTGAGTCCTGGCTCAGGGCAGAGCAAGCTGGGGCACACAAGCCTCTGCAGTGGGAGAGCAAGCCCAGGTGCCTGGGACAGCAGAACTGTAAGCCCTCAGACACTGTGCATTCCTGAACTTGCCTTCCACTCCTTCAGGAGCTCCTCCTGTTTAAGCCCCTGGAATCAGGTGTCCCAGGACTCTCTTTTCTGAAAGTCATGAACAAACCTGAAAAGGCTGCACCCAAGACATAGGCCCTTTCCACAGCCAAGGCACAGCTCTAGGCTTTTAGTTACCTGCAGTATCTTCTGGGCTGGCATATCACCGATACACCCTGGGAAGAGAAGATATCCTCTGTTTCCATCACCACAGTGTCATTGCTGCAGCCTACATAGTATGATTGATGGAGTCCATAGAAGACCAACATTTAGGCTAGTGAGTAGATACGACACCCACATGGACTGTTTAGCTTTGACTCCACCATCTGTATCAAATGCTGAAGCACACATACGAATGGGCTGGGCCTTCCAGAGGCTTGACACCAGACATTTAACCTATCAGCTACCAAAGTCCCAAGGGATTCTGAATTAACATTATGACCCTGTTTAGGCAACTGTTAGAAAAGAGGTTTTAAAAACTTCCATAGTATCACCTTCCAAGCAGAACAAGTGGGCGAGAACCTTGCTGCACAGCTCATTTTCTTTGCTATACCAAAAAGGTGCAAGTACTCTCTTCTACTTCGGTCGATTCAGCCATCAAAAAAGTGGGAAGAAAACCCAACTCAAGCCTCGGCAAAACTGTAACTCACAACAGCTCTGGGTGATGACAGGGAGATTCTTACAGCACTTATTTAGAGCAACAGAAGATGCTGGTCTCCAAACAGCCAGGTTAAAAGTCTGAGTAAATCTTCACTGTAGCTACAAGAGAACAGTCTTGATGCCATCTGACCTGTGTCTTCATATGAGATCAGTCAGAACACCTGTCTCTTAAGTAGAAGCTATTTGATCATTTAATCACTATTCATCCTACTTTGCCTCTTGCTATGATATCCTGGGAAAAAAAGAATAGCATGGCTGGCTTTGATATGCTAAATATTACAGGATCTGTAAGCAAATCAAAACAGAAGGATCCCTTCAGTGAAGTCACTGAGTGCAGTGCCATGTCTCCTACACTGGCAAACTCCATTTTTTGGTATCAGGCCTGGAGAAAGATTGGGCAACAGCAAGTGCAGAGAGTGACAGAAAGCCACCTTTCCTCCCCCTCCCGCCTCTGGGAATGGCCCTTCAGTTCCCAGGGAGCTCCTCAGCTCTCCCCAGCCAGGCTCCTGCTGCATCCACTTCATGCATTTGTCCATTTGGTGCGCTCTCCTCTTTGTTTATTGGCAAGACAATCTCCTTTACATGATCTTGGAGCTAATATCTCTTTTACTGATCAAGACCTCCAGCAATCTCAGCTTGGCCTTCACCTGCTTGTATTCATTGTACTCTTCAGCCATAGGAGTGCGGTCTTCTTTCTGCACGTTCCTAGTGGGAGCAAAAGCAGATCATGAGGACTTCTGTAACAGGACGTCTTCCTGCAGCAGCCTCCCTCTGTTCCCCCCCAAACACCTACAAAGCATCTCCTCTCCTGCACTCCCCATTGGGAAACAAAACCAAAATGTTTATCATTTGGGAGGGAAAACCCCAATTATCCTGTCACCAAGAAACTCTTCCGTTGTTCCTGTCAGGTGTGCTAGAGGCAACTGGATTTTTACAACATGTACCTTCGTTTCCCACTACTTGTCCTAAGACAAAGTTTTCGAAGACGCTGTGGTCCCTGAAGTTCCCTGCAGGGGCAGGAAAAGTAATTCATGTTAATGGGCAGATGTAATGAATATGGGTAAAACACTGATGATGGTGCAGTAGCATGTAGTAGTGAATTCAGGTAACTTCCCATATTTGGAGGTCTTTGTAGCTGTCAAACGATTAAAAGTAGCTTAAGGACAGAGAGACAGCTGAGAAATTACCTTCCATTTTGTCGGAAAAAGTTATCTTCGAAGTCTCTCAATTTTTTTCTGATTCGCTTTTTCTCTTCCCTGACTTCTTGGAGCTGCTCTAAAAGTTCAGGGCTGTTGGGTTTAAGTATAAACAAGATTATACATATGTACACAATTATGACAGGAAACATGCAGGAAATCTACAAATGTATTATTGTATGTCTGCCAAGCAATGGAGCTGCTCCTTCAAGCAGCTCTGGCAAGCTGATGCAACAAAAAGTTATCTGAATTTAGTTCAGCAAAACAACAGGACACTTACACTAAAGCCTCCAAGGAGATCAACTGTGCATTTCACAATTCACCACTAACTTCTAAGAAACCTACTTGTTGAAGATGGGTCTGGTTTTGGTGACTTTTATGGGATCAAGATCCAATGCTTATGACTTAGGCTATGACCTATGTGTGTTTGCGTCAGACGTAGATGCTCAAAACTAGCAAAGCTAGTTCAGCTTGACCTCTCCAAAACCTGAAGAACCTTGTAGAGTACAGAGTTGTTTTCATTATAAAGGCTTGTCAGTGGTGAAGTGGAGCTAGTATTTAGTACTAGAATCCAGAGATGCTGAAGTAAAATATCAGTATTAGGACCTGGTAGTTTCTTCCCAAACCCTTTTGTGCAAGTGTCTATTGCATTTACAAATAAAGCACAAAAACCTTTGACTCAAATCACAAATGCAAAAAAAACCCCTCTAGACACTTTTCTGACAAATAAATGCTATCTTAGCAAGAAATAACTTAGAGAAGTTGCTTGTGAATTCAACATACATGGATGCTTCGTGGAGATTTGAAAGGCCCATATCCTGATTGCTCCTCGATGGCACCTTATCATCCACTGGGGAAACAAAGCCATCAGCATCATCTTCTAGTTGATCCAAGAAGCTGCGCACGCTGAAATCTGTTTTCATGGTAATTGTGAAATCTGGCTTCGCATTGCTGTCCTCCTCGGATCCCTCCTCTTCTTCCTAAAAAAAGGGACAGAGCACCCCCATAAGAGAACAGGTTACTGCTTCCCCTCTCAGAAACAGGTGCCCTCTTTCACCACATGCACTGGGGAACAGGTAGGTGGATAGGCAGAGCAAGCACTTTAATTGCTAAGCAATACAGGACACAAGAAGACCACCAGCACGGCACCCGCTACAAAAGCATGTCAGAGAAACTGTGACCACCAACTCAGATTGGCTAACGAGACCCAAGGCAACCCAACTGACTGAAAAAATACCTGGGATTCTTAGGAACCTGTTGCTTTAACTTCTGGATTCTGATACAAACAAAACCACTTCCAGCCACAATGCAGACGGTGTAAAGCACACCCACCATCCTCTCTGTTTCCCTGCAAATACAGCTGGCACCATGCCAACTGCCAGGTTAAAGTACTAAATATTCTCTCAATAGATGCAGCTCAAGAGCTCTCTCTAACGGCTGAATTCAAGCCCTCAAGTGCTCATTCAGTGATCGATCAATGAGCTCAGATTACTCTTACAATGGCCCAAATGTGGGGTATGATGGACTGTAAAAGGACTGCTGTTGCTAACGTCTTTCTAGCACCAACTTTGTACCATTGAGCTAGAATACACTAAAAATTGGAGTGGAAACACTCTGCCAAGTGCAATTTCCTCCAAATACACTGATGAACTGGTTGTGCTCAATATTTTGGCAAAACTATTATTGGACACAAGGTTTGGAAGTCTCTTCTGCACTTGGAATTTGCTAATTCACAGCGTTCTCAAATACAGGGCTTGTACTTGGACACTGTCCAGAAATCATTTGGATTTTCAGTGAACAGGGCCCAGTTTTCTCTCACAGAGACACTTCTAGAAGTCAGTTTTCAACCTTAATGTAAAGGAACGAGGCATGAGCATTAGAGGAAGGTAACGAATGCCCAGTAATTCTCTTAAATATGCATGCATGTGTTTATATACTTATTTTACAACCATGAATTCTAGCTCAGAAGGATCTAAGCATATCCATATCTTTAAAAGCTTTTGAGAGTTCATATCACTGAATACTTAAGTACATGCAAAAACATATTGTTGCACTGGAGCCAAAAGAAGCAATTTTCTTTACTTATTTTTCATGTAATTCCTTGTAAATAATTCAATTATTCCTAAGAGGTTGCTCCCACATTTCAAGCGAAAGGGGAGAAAGTAACACTAGGACCTCACATTGCCCCATTAAATCCTCAAAGTCAATGACTTATAAACGCACACATTTACATAAACCCAGAGTTTCCTTTTTATGTTAAAGCTCTAGGCCATGAAAATACAATGCAAAGCCACATTGAAACCAGAATGGAGGCTTGAGGATGAAAAAAAAGATTAGCTGGAGAGAAGTTGTGAGCAATAATACAGAGACATTTGAAAACATCTCAGGAAAATCTGCTGAGAACTTGTGAAACTTAAAACCATTATTTACCATATAATTACATAAGACCATTTCTCCAGATGTAAATGATACAGCTTCAACAGAAGGCATAAACCAGTAGTCATATATGTCCTTAAAACCTGCAAACAACTTCAGGCTGGACTGAGGAAGGGAGACCATCACTCACTGCCATTTCCCAGTCCCCAGGCACTCTGTCCTGCTCTGCTGGTGAAGGGCAAGCAGGAGAATGCCAATCCTGATGCAGCATGGAGGAGGATTTGCTAAATCAATCTAAGCAATAAAAATGGCACGATTTATTTTAGGGGAATCTCTCTGGCACCAAAGGAGGAGCTCCCATGTCCTTTCCTGAGAGAGCACGTTGCTTCTGGATACCCATTCTGAAGAGAAAGGAAAGGGATAATTTTCATAAGCAGTGTGACAAACTGCTCCTGAGGACAGATGCAAGGTGTCACTGGAATCTGTAAATCTGGCAGCAGCCTCTTCCCCACAGACCTGCCTCACTCCAGGGCACCACCACGCTTGCCCAAGCCAGCAGGGATTACTCTGGCCCAGAGCTCAGGAGCGAGCCCCCTGCCAATAGAAACCCATGGGAGGAAAATAAAGTGTAGAAATGTCACTTGCTTAGACCTCAGTGCCTAAACACTGCATCTGGCTGCCACAAGACCTCTTAAAGCATTTTGCTGTTTAAAACAAATAAGAGAATTAAAAGGATTCTTAGCCAGAAGTCGAATGGAAATGGCCACCTAAAGCCTTTACTTCAAACAAATTTCACAAGGCAATTTTACTTTCAGCCTGCACTGGCATTTACATCTTCAACCAGAATGATCTTTGTTGGCTAGATCCATTTGCATTACATATGCTTGGATCTTTAGACAATCACAAGGCATTTAAAATCTCCAGAGCTACACACTAAAATCTCTAGAGTATCCCATCAGCAGCACTCCCAGCAAGCAAGCTTGCCCATGACTTTTTCAACACAGATAATATTCAAGATATTGTACCCAAATGTTCGGTAAGACTTCAACTCAAATTGCCTTTCAAGCTTTTATCCAACTCTCCCAAGTGTTTAAAAAAACCCCTTTAAATTAAAAAAAAAACCCAACAAACTGAAAGTGTGAGTGGCCTGTCAAGACAGACAGTGCTCTGTCCACAGCGGACCTATGCATGGGGTAAGTTTTGGGGCCTTTTGGTGATTTCCTCTCTTTAGTTCTCAGTGTAGATCAGTGAGATGCTGCCACAGCAGCTTCACAGGACCCCATTTAAGTGTTATTAGGCATGTAAGTGTTAATGGGCTTAAGGCTGTCCCCCTGATCTTCAGTCAGAGGTTTGTATTCTCTGCGGGACACTGCTGAGAGGATGCAATACTGTTCTGGTGCAGCACCAGCCATCCTGGTCATCAGAAATCACCAAAAACTGCTAGATGTTTTGACTCTGGGCGCAAGCATAAGTGAAAAATAAAGGGCATAGTAAAAGAAAAAAAATCAGCAGCAAGAATAATCCCCATCAGACCACTATTGCAAATTTGATCCCACAATTATCTAGAAAATACTGGGAGCTCAGTGATGATTAACCAGCCTCCAAACAGCAGGCTAACATCTTCAGTCTGCAATCTAGTTTTAATACCTCGAATAGGTCATTAATTTTGCAACCTACTGTAACTGCCTAATAATCAAACCACCTCAGATGTCTAGATCTGCAATATTTATGCCACTAAACAAACTCTGGCTGCATTAACAGCTAAGTGACCCAAGTGTGCAGAAGCACTTTTTTCCCATTACATTGCAAGGGTAATGAAAGCAAACCAGGGTCCAGCTCCACACTGCATGTCCTGGTCAACTGCTGGACTTCCCTCCTTCCCAGGGGAAGAAGTCCCAGTATCTTAGCAGACTTCACCACCAAGAACTGCTACTCCACAGCAGCATGAGAAGGAAACACAATCCTGCCTTCCAAATCTGACCAAGTGCTCACTAGCAGAACCGAGTTGCTCTTAATTCCATCCTCATGTGACTTGGTTAAAAATACCATTCATAAGGTGGTGACAAAAAGCCCTGGATAAAATAAGCACGTGAATGGAAGTAGGTAGGGATCCCCTAAGTGTCCCAGTTGGCTCCACATGCAAGTGTTAGTTTTGTGAGAGCTCATTTCTGCCACAGTGCTGTGTGCAAGCCCCACAGCTTTGGAGTGAGAGAAACTACCACAAAACAAGTTAGTGTAATTAAAAAGAGAGGAGGAAAGCAAGGGAAAAAAGCAACATACAAAGGTTAAGTGTGATTTTTTTTTTTTTAAGCAAAGTAAAATATATTATGTGCAGGTGGAGGGGAAGTAAAAGGACAGGAAAGAATGCAAAGCCAAGGAAATACTGTAGTCTTATCTACAACAAGGGAAGAATTTGATCAAAACGGGTGAGGCTTAAAGCAGCTACTGATTTTTCAGGAGGACACTGCAAAAAAATCAACACTGATGGAAAAAATTTATCAATCAATCATTCTCTTTCATTGGTACAAGGGAAAAATTGATGCAAACTGAGCAATTAGTTAGCAGCTGGAGGTCTTCACCTTTATCTCCTTGAAGAAGGAAGCTGTTTCGCCCTCGATAATTGGCTGCAGCAAAGGGCTTCTCCGCTTGCTGGAGGGGGAACCCTGTGACAGGTGTTAACAAGTACGTTACATTATGAACCCCTTTCTCCTTCACCACCTGCTCTCAGCTCATTCTCACCCACACATTCACCCTTATCTCATCCCTGGGCCATCAGGAGGAATCTGTCTCTTAAAGAAGAAAAACATGCCCAGCAAAACCCCCTCAATCTTGGGCTGTTTTCTCTCAGGATGTTGCTCAGCAAGGAACATCGCTGCCAAAAGCTTAAGAAAAAAAGCCTGGATACTGTAACTAGCTGGGGAGGAACTACAAAGCAAAGGCTGCAAGAAAATAATCCCCAGCCCGAGGCCCAGATACACACACACACATTTGGTTGGCTCTCCAAAGCTACGCTGTAAGCCCAGACTCTTCAGGCTTGCTTTCCAGGAGCCTAATTTCCTGCTG